TCCTTACAATTATAAGAGAAGTCTGGAGGCAATAGAGGCAATAGAAATGTGCTTCTACAGATGAATGTTGAGAATTCCATTGAATAAGCAACGAAGAAGTATTAACCAAAATGGGAGCAACAACAAAATCTATACTTAAAATATGAGAGAGCAAATTAATATTTATGCGTCACATAACGAGGAAAATTTGACACTCACAGAACATATCAAAGACAAGACAGACAGGAGGAAACTGCAAGCAACCTACTTAATGAGCTCATGTGAATACCTGACAGAACGTGGAGTGGGAGGGATGGTAAAAAAAACCCCAAAGATTGTTAATAGCTAAAACGGATAGGAAGTTGCGGAGAGACATAACCACCCAAGCCCTGAAGGTACATGGTATACAGGAGGAAAAGATCAATCTTAGCATAATTACTCCCTCCGAAACGGTTATCACTTTTGTTATCTATTGTACAACCCGCACATCTAACCTTATAGCATCTGGTATTCTCAAGCGATCACCCATCTAAGTACTTACTAGGCTCGACGTTGCTTAACTTCGAAGATCTGCGGAAATGGTAACAATATCCGCAGTTGGGACAGGGAAACTGACCTGAAGGTTTAGATACTTCCACTTTTCTTTTGCATGGGTCTCATTAATGCTCTCACGTCATTTTATCTCAAATGTTTCCATTGCTCGTTAGACGCCATCCCTGTTTATACATCCTTGCAACAACATCATTTAGTAACTGTCTACCTTGAATGGCTCTTGGGCATTGTATTGTGTGAGCAATAGTAAAAAACTTGCCCTTGGGTTATTTCACTTTTAACTCGCAAATGTAGATGTGCAAAATGATACTCTTCGCTTATTATATAATAAGATATGTGTTGATTAATTTATTTTTTTGATGGCGGGGAGATGACTTCCGGTCTTTAAGCAATCTGTACACAAATTTCATAATCTTTTAGAGATGCATTTATACCGAGTATCATTAATCCCCCCCCCAAAAAAAAGAGTTGTAAGTGCACACCTTGTAGCGATCATTTTTTTTGTCTTTGACGCAGTCAATTAGCTTATGTAGGTGTGGTATTATACTTTGAAAACATTTTGTTAATTCATCTGTATCTGAAACCTTTAGGCTTTCTGCTAAAACTGCAAATTCATATACACTATCTATCTATCTATCTATCTATCTATCTATCTATATCTATATCTATATCTATATATATATATATATATATATATATATATTGTGTGTTCTATAGGGGGAGTGAATAACGAACTAATCGTGCATCCCAAAATTGCATTTATTTTTACGTGCTCCAAGGTAGAAACAAAGTAAAGAATGCATGTTTGTAAAATAAAGAGCCTGATGAATAAATAGACCAAAATATATATATATATATATATATATATATATATATATATATATATATATAATGTATAAATAGACCAAAATAATATGTGTGTGTGTGTGCGCGCATGTGTGTTTGTGTGCTTGTGTTCTTGTGTAATAAGCATAAAATCGCTGGCGTTGTAAAATCTAGAGACTTTAATGTAAAGTGTAAAACAAAAACAAAGATACACAACACAAAACCTAAAATGTAATAATAACTTTTCAGATAAATATCATGATACTTCCGTGACTGGCAATTTCATGTTATTCACAATCTTCAGGCGGGAACAATGAAATTCCTTTGGCATTGTTTGTTCCTCATCCCACCTTGAAGATTGCATAATAGTATCAAACTGCTATTTGGACGCATAGAACTGGTTGTTTTGTGTATATTTATATTTTTACGGAGGACCATGACCCCTATATATATATATATATAAAATATAAGAGAATAGAAAAGTTCAGAGCAGATAACATTTGAAAGATTTTAGAGTCCCAGGAAAATAAGTGGATACAACGTCTAAAAACAAAATACCCAGCCGGGCTAAATCATAAATATTTAACAATATATAATAGTAACAATATATAACTCAGCAAATCAAAACCTACCCACATTTCTCACCCACACAAGACAGACATGCTTACGGAGGAATGGAGGCCTCACACTTATACACTCACCCACACGATTATACACACGTACACACACCATACTCACTCACTCCCTAATGAGCCAAATGATAACACACACCTACAGCAATACAACACATATCATACTCACTCACTCCCTAAGAACCAAATAACACACACACAAACACTAAACAGAGACACATCCCCTCACCAGGTCCAATAAAACTGTCAAACTGACCAGTCTATTCAGGATAAAAGTTCTTATCTCAAATAACAACTTAAAAGAGACTGTTTGACCAACACAAGGAATGTTAAAAGATTCATGCGAAAAAGATAAAAAAATAAAAAAACAAATGAAAACTAGACAAAAGTTCATTTTCTCCAACAAAAGACATTCATTTCTGTAGTTCACTGCTAACAGCAAGCAGAAATATTTCTCCTCCCGATGATGGCCATTTCGGTCGAAACTAGTCGAGGAATCTAAGTGGAATAATAATGATAAAAAACGAAAGAATATTAATCTACAACCCAGTGTGTCTAATGATTTTAATTTTTTAATTTTTTATTTTCTTATTGTTCAATATATATATATATATATATATATATATATATATATATATATATATATATATATATATATATATATATATATATATATATATAGAGAGAGAGAGAGTGCGATCGGTAAATTGTTGCCATTTTATATTTTTAATTAGACACCTGCGCGTTCTCGAGGCGGTGTAATGGTTAGCGAGCTTGTCTCGCTGAAACAATTTCGGCCTTGTGCCACATCTAAGCTACGATTGGAAAATCACTATATATATGGCTGGGAACCTCGATGCGGTGTAATGGTTAGCAAGCTTGCCTCGCTAGAACAATTACGACTAAGTAGTGAGTTCGATCCTTACGGGGTGCTCCTTACTTTCGGCCTTGTGCCACACCTAAGCTACGCTTGGAAAATCAATATATATAAATGGACTTAGTTCATTTCATAATATATATATTATGAAATGGATTGAGTCTGACAATTATTTTTATTGTTTATACGTTATTTTTATCGATACAAATATGCTCTGTTGATAAACTGTATTAACAACATTTACCGGCCTGAATGTCCGAGAACTTTTCATAGAAAATAGGCGTCCTCTGACAAGAATCGAACTTGCCCTACATGTCCATTGTTTAATTCCACCAGTTCGATCTTGACAGTTAGAACATGTCTTAACACGTAGAGTTATTAATCCTTATTCTCTTCGAGTTTCATTGATTATCAGTCGGTAAGAAGGACTCAAAAAGCTACGTCCACAGAAATGTTACATTGGAGAGAATATTTCCGAAACGATACTTACCCGATTACGACAATCTTAGCCTCTTCAAGACTAGGTTCAAGCGTTATCTCCCTCATAAATTCTTGTCATGTGCATCTCTTGCGTCCATACAAGTTAATTTTGGAAAATTCTATCTTGAGTGCTTCTTGAGCTTTGCATTGGGTAAACAATAGTATGATATATATATATATATATATATATATATATATATATATATATATATATATATATATATATATGTGTGTATATATAATTATTTATTTAAAAATATGATTCCAAATCGCTACATAAGAGGTCTCATGTTTCAAAACAAGAGCCGAAAAACTTCAATATAATCCTTTAAATTAAATTGAGTTTAAATTAAAATGGGCTCCGTTCCATCTTCGAGCGAAATTTTTGTTGAATATATATATATATATATATATATATATATATATATATATATATATATATATATATATATATATATGAATAATGTTTTGATACTACAGAATAAATAGATTGACTTAAAGAAACACATTTTTTTCTTTTAAGGACCTCGGTCACCTTTAAAGGCAATTGTATTTATTTATTATAAGTCGATATATATATATATATATATATATATATATATATATATATATATATATATATATTGAGAGAGAGAAGCCTGAATAGTGCGTTTAATATTTTAAATTTACATATGTTCTATTCCTGATATTGAGCACTTTAACCCATAAATATAGCCTACCTTAAAAAGTATATCTTTAACACACGAACGCACACGCACATACACACACACACACACACACACACACACACATATATATATATATATACACACACACACACACACACACACACACACACATATATATATACACACACACACACACACACACACACACACACACACACACACACACACATATATATATATATATATATATATATATATATATATGCCAACGCCTGTTTATTTTCAGCAATAGGAATAGCTTAATAGTATTTTGTATATCTGATCGAGGTTACGTGGAGCGCGATTCATTTATGTGATGTAATGTCTGTCTGTGACTTGACAGCTAATGTGTTTCTAAGTTTATGGCGGGGGTGTACTGTGAGATTGTGTTTCGCTTAGTTCGGGGCGGCTCTGTCAGCCGAAAGACATCAAAGTTTCAGATGAAATAATGGCGTTTACATCTACATCAGTCCAGTAGCGCGCGATGTCAAAAGCTAGCGAGATCATTCCTAATGTGTATTTATAACTTGATTTGTTATAAAAGATGTTTAAAGTTTATAGAATACACATGTTTATACAGTAGCAAGAATACATGGTTCATACACACATTCGTACGTGGACACACACACACACATACATATATATATATATATAGATATAGTTATAGATGTATAGATCACTCAGTTATGTGCCATGCGTGATACACGCTTAGGCGATCATGTATCTTTCGATTTTTTACCGCAGTAGTTTACCATTTAATTCTGCGGTAGACCAGTTGCCATCAAAGGCTACAGGACCCGTTCTGTCCTGCTATTTACCCATAGCTGTGGGGGGAAAAGAAGAGGATTCATACCTTTCCCAAGGGTATTATTAGCACATAAGTGAATGTAATGGATCTGACTGGAATTCGAACTCTCAGATTCCTCAATCCGAGCCGCTAACCATTACTCCACCGTGCCTACCATAGATAGATAGATAGATAGATAGATAGATAGATAGATAGATAGATAGATAGATAGATGTATGTATGTATGTAGATAAATCAATATGTCCAAGGCTTAAAGATAAAAATTGCATTTATTTTTTAATTTAAACCGTAGATATTTACCTTGTAATAGAATCACGTTATCTGCTAATGCACTTAATTCGGTAGTCACAGAAATTAAATAATATAGAGTTAAATTTTCGGATAAAATGTCCATTAGCACGGTAATAACTACGGTGGTTGCTGAAATATTCTTGATTCTGTCCATCTACCAAAAGCATTAATTCGATGACCAGAAACAGATTTTGGCAAATTGGTAGGGCTTTTCAGGTACAACGCATATGGCAGACTAGTAATAGACTAGTAATATTTTAATCCAACGTACACACACACACACACACACACACACACACACACACACACACATACATATATATATATATATATATATATATATATATATATATATATATATATATATAAATTTAATGAAAAACAGACGACTTTAAGGTACCATTACAATAATTTATTTCACCAAAATCCTTTTTAAAGGACTCCGGAACATCAGGTAACAATTCCAACAACGAAAAGAAAGGAAAAATGGGATTAGAAATTGATGGGTAGTGTAATTTTTGTAATTTAACAGGTGGGGGGGGTGAGAATTGTAGCTAACGAGACAAGGTAGAGTATAGGGAGGGGTTAATTTCATATCTCTCTTAAGCATGCTTTATATTGGGGTAGGAGGAGTGACCGAACTTTGACCTATTTAGATGGTTAACTTAACGGAAATGATATATAGGAATGTGTACTCAATGTGTACAAATCATTAGTTGAGATGTACAGGAATAGACTGGTAGCTGTTGAACTCAATAAAGGATATTCCACAAAGTATTAAGTTAAGTTAATATGCTTTGTACGAATACTTTTTTCATCAGTTAAAATGAAAAAAAAAATGCATTAATTTCTGTTAGAATAAGAATGAATCAAGTTTATTACTATTTTTAATGTATCTTTACACATAAAATGTATCAAAATTTGTTTTAGTTAAGGCTTTTACATTTATAAAAATACAATTATTCATGTGTACGAATATTTATTTCCACCCACTGTATATATATATATATATATATATATATATATGTGTGTGTGTGTGTGTGTGTGTGTGTGTGTGTGTGTGTGTGTGAAAGAGAGAGAGAGAGAGAGATAGCGGGTTATTCTGGGGTCATTATTGTGTGTTCTGAGTAGGAATTATGTTCCCTTTGTTGCCAAAGTATTAAAAAAAGTATCTGGTATAAAAATGTATAAGAAAACACAAAGAGAATAGGAAATAGATAATAGAATAAAATGACATCACAAAGAATTGACTATAAAATGAAAAAAACAGAAAATATGAATCATCATCTAAAGAGGCGAAAGTTAAAGAATTTTTAGCATCAATTTGTACATGAAAATTTCTTAAACATCTGAAGGAATCGATAGATATAATACTGCTAAAAATGTGAGCATACACACAAAACGAAAAGGCGATGGAAAAATAGCCAGCCATGAAAAATATAGAAAGAAATAAGAAAAAAACTGCATTAAAAAGGGGGATAGTAATGCGTTACAAAATAGGGATACAAAAGACTAGAGAGAAAGCAGAAAGCAAGAGAAAGTATGAATGTAGGAGGGTAAGAAACTGACGTAGAATTTCGAAGGCAAAAGATAGATAAATAAAGAACGAATGAAATAAAGAAAAAAGAAGGAAAAAAGAAAGAAGAACTATGTAAAAACTGCAAGCGAATGTAAAAAAAGAAGTTACTGATGCTGTACAAGTCTGTATAAAAGGCTAGAGCGATAGAAAAAACAAGGGAAAGGAATAAAAAATGAGAGTGAGAGAAACGTAGTGGACCTTAGATTGTCGGGAAGAAAGAAAGAAAGAAAACTGCAAGAGAAGGTAAAAATGGATTTAGTGATGTTGTACAAGACTGCATTTCAGGGACAAATGCGAAAAAAAAAAAGGAAGAGAAAGAAAGAATAAATGGGAATAAGAGAAACGTAGTCGACCTTACATAGCACGAAAGAAAGAAAGAAAGAAAGAAAGAAAGAAAGAAAGAAAGAAAGAAAGAAAGAAAGAAAAGAAAACTCCAAGAGAAGGTAAAAATGAACTTAGTGTCATTGTACAAGATTGCATATAAAAAAATTAGAATGAAAGAAAAAGGAAGGAAAAGAAAGAACGAAGGAAACTAAGGGAAACTTAGTTGACCTAAGAATGCACGAAAGAAAGCGAGAAAACTGCAAGATGAGGTAAAAACAGAAGAGTAGTACTGTTGAATAAGATAGCATTTAAAAGACTAGAGCAAAAAAAAAAAAAACACGAACTAAAAAAAAAGAGGGAATGACAATGAGAAACTTAGTGAAAGTTAGAAAGAAAGAACGAAAGAAAGAAATTTAAAAAATGCAAGGCCAGAAAGAAAGTTATTAGGTTGGTGCAAAAATAATGACGTAATAATGTCGTTTTTTGACCTAAAAAAATACGCCAAAAAACGACATTATTACGTCATTATTTTTGCACCAACCTAATAGTAATGCTGTACGGTTGTGCATACAAAAAATAGAGCGAAAGCAAAAACAAGTGAATTAAAGAACGAACGACCATAAAAAAAAACCTTAGTGTACATCAAAATGAAAGAAACAAATAAGAAAGTGTATTTAGAAAAGAAAGAAAAGCAGAACTAACAAAAAAACAAAACAAAACACAAACAAACAAAAAAACCGAATTAGTGACACAACTAAAAAATGAATCGAAGAAGAAGAAAAATATTATCTTATGAGAAATATCCTGCAGAAGCAATGAAGTTGATATTGAACAGATAAAGCACATAACATGCAGATAGAAAGGAAAAAGTTAAGTTAATAAAGCAATAGGGTACTCATAGCTATGCTCAACGAGCTGGTATACTTGACGATTTTTAATATGTAGTGCATTCAATCTTCACTGTCGCTCCAAAGTTGTGGCCATTTACCAAAACGAAGTTACTTACAATTAGTAAATAAATATAATACAAGTAGGGAAAGAAAGAAAGAAAGAAAGAAAGAAAGAAGATTGATTAAGAATACACAAAAAGAGCACCAACAAATATCAAGAATTTGAAGACAATATGCCAGGAAGAATGGGACAAAATACCACTCAATGTGTGCAAATCATTAGTTGAGATGTACAGGAATAGACTGGTAGCTGTTGAACTCAATAAAGGATATTCCACAAAGTATTAAATTAATATGTTTTTTTTTTGTACGAATACTTTTTTCATCAGTTAATTTGTTTTAGTTAAGGCTTTTACATTTATAAAAATACAATTTTTCATGTGTACGAATATTTATTTCCCCCCACTGTATTTATATATATATATATGTGTGTGTGTGTAGCGCATTCAATCTTCATTGTCGCTCCAAATTTGTGGCCATTTACCAAAACGAAGTTACTTACAATTAGTAAATAAATATAACACAAGTAGGGAAAGAAAGAAAAAAAAAAGAAAGAAAGAAAGAACATTGACTAAGAATACACAAATAATGAGTGATAGATTATCTGCTAATCTAGTGCGTTTAATCCATATAATGCGCTCGGATATTGTTTCTTACCAAGAATAAATTATCATCGTCATCATCAGTCCCATAACAAGGTGTGGTCGTAAGGTCGCCGACACGTACCCCCTCTTTTCCATATATCTCGGTAGCGTGCTCAATGTAAGAGTCTTTGTGAATGATCTTCTAGTTCACTCATTGACGTTGTTAGTCCATTTATTTTCTTCTGTCTGCCTCTTCTTTTGCCTAAGGTGGTACCTTGGTGGATGGCAGTGGAGTAATTGCTGGCTCTTATGACGTAGGGCTACCATTTCAACTTTCTCTTCTTGACGGTGCTTATGAGGTTTTTTCCATTTCTTGTGCGATGGTGTCTCACATTGCGACATTCATGATACCGTCAACGTAGAAGATGCCAAGAATGCTTCTGTATCATTTCAATTCTAATACAGAGCAATCTCGGTTCTCGAACGTCTCACATGTCGAAGAATTCGGTTTACGAATAGAATATTCGAAATAAAAATGCCTCGGTTATCCAACGCAGTTTCGTTGCTTGAAACTCCTTCCCCATTGTTCATCATGAATTTGGTTCCTTTGTTGGCATTAATCTCTATAATTCAGATTCTTCACCAGACTAACAAGTTTCTCTTCTTTTCCATCTATGTCATCATCAAAGAGAAGGCTTGCGATTTTGCGACCTACGCTGCTGACTGCGTCCCAATTGCACGATTACTAAAACGGTCCCAAAGTTTTGACTTTAAGAATAAATAGGGAAGTAATATGCAATTATGTAAGACATTTGCTGTGCGATTAGTTGTTCTTAGTTCTCTTCTTGTTCTTGTTCTTGTAAAGACATTCACCCGGGGTGGGTTGAGCCTGCTCCAATATTGGAGTTTCATGGGAATTTGGAATTCACAAGCGGTCGCCACATGAGATTTGATTATAGTGGTGAAGGTTTCGTGCAGGACCATCCACACTTTTTGAAGGGCCGATTACAGAGACCTGGTGCACTAAGTGCCACAAGGTCCCCAAACGATCCTCCGCAGGTTTTGAATTCAGAGTTTTTCCTTCTCCTAGACCAGTTGCCATCCAAGGCTATAGAACCCAGTCTGTCCTGCTATTTAGCCGTAGATGGGGGGAGGAGAAGAAGAGGATTCACACCTTTCCCAAGGGTATTAGCACGTAAGTGAATGTAATGGATTCGACTGGAATTCGAACTCGGCTCTCCGATTCCTCAATCCAAGTCGCTATTCATTACTCCACCGTGCCTCCTCCTTGTGTTAGTTGGCTATGAAAACAAGGCATGTCTCAGTCTTTGTAAACTATAGAGATAATCCCAGTTCCAATCACCAGCTCAGGCAAATATTGTTTTCTTCAACGCTCACACAGAACTAAATACTGCTATGCTGAGCAGATGCTACTTAGACTTTCTAGGAGAGAGCGCATAATCTGGTGTAAACATCGATCACTTCAGTACGTTAAACGTCTCGGTCACGATGACTTGTGACTTCCAGAATAGTCATCAACGGCTTCCGAAAAGTTTCGTCTAGCCTCTTTCACTTGGGTCAACCTCTGGTTTGATTTCAGGCACTTTACAATCCTGCCAGATAATTGGATCGTCCCTCCAAACTGACATTATCAAGGTCACCTGTTAAATCGGCCATGCAATTATAGTGAGAACACTAATATTCTAACCGCTTGACCACGAGTTGACTATAGGTACCAATATGGTACTGGTAATGGTAATATTAGCTGATTCTCTGCAAGGAAAGATTTGCCATTCATTGACCTCGCAGCCAGTACTGGTTTTGATTGAATTTAATAGAATCTTTCTCTTAGATATTTTTTTAAAGGAAAACAGGTTTCTCAAGTGCTGTAGCTGTTATCGCTTTTTCCAGTATGGATGGGGGTTTTCTTCCAAACCTATTTGAAGTGGTGTAAAATGTTAACAGCTTGATTATGTCGTTATTTTCTCTTCGAGATACATGTGCTATGCATTTTAGTTGTTGCTGCTGTTGGTAGTCCTCAAGTGATGTGGTTTCTGTTATTCGGTACAGTTCTTTGTTTGTAATTCTGTAGCGTGAGTCCACAACGTTCAAAGATGTATGGTCCTCTCTGAGATCCACAGGTTTCATGTGCTCAAAACCTTTTTTTTAACTATTCATCATAGAAAGTAGTTGTATACATCTGAGAGTTTAGATATTTCTGAACTGGTTTGATGCCATCCATGTGAAAGTCTCGATCTGACGTAGAACTATTATTAGAAATATTTAAGAACATGGTTCGAATTTTCAGGTTGATCTTTTGAGGTGTAGGGCACAGCGTGTTCAATTTCCTTTTTTCTCATATGCTAAATTTGGTATAACTGATCTATACGCCGAGGTATCTGAAGTGTTTTGTATTTGCTAATTCCAAATCCTGAATTTTTATGATGGATTCTAGATAGTTACCTTTAGTGCTTTCATTACAATTCCAGACACAGTTTCTATTTTAGAAAGTTTTATCTTGAGACAGTAATATTAGACCAAATATCGAAAGCCGGTCTTTAAATTAAGCAGACCCTTCCCACATGAAGATTGGCGCAAAACCATTTTGGTGCTCGCATTTTCCCCCCACTATCTGCCTTCTACCCAGCACATTTACGCTGGGAATATATCAGTATACAGGATCGGAAGAAGCACTAGAAAAGGAAACAGTTGCTAGAGAAAAAAAAAGCGCAGGTGAAAATAAAAGTAAAATAGAATCGAAACAATGATATGAAAATCAGAACGTTGGTTGGGAAATTAGTCACTTATGTGCCATGCGTGATACATTCTTAGGCGATCATGTATCTTTGGATACATGACAGACGAGGCAGATTTTTTCCTGCAATTGGTTGCCATTTCTTTCTGCGGTTGACCAGTCATCATCAAAGGCTATAGAACCCGGTCTGTTCTGCTATTTACCCATAGCTGAAGGGAGCAAGAAGAGGATTGATACCTTTCACAAGGATATTAGCACGTAAGTGAATGTAATAGATTTGGATACATGACTGACGAGGCAGATTTTTTCCTGCAATAGGTTGCCATTTCTTTCTGCGGTAGACCAGTCATCATCAAAGGCTATAGAACCCGGTCTGTTCTGCTATTTACCCATAGCTGAAGGGAGCAAGAAGAGGATTGATACCTTTCACAAGGATATTAGCACGTAAGTGAATGTAATAGATTTGGATACATGACTGACGAGGCAGATTTTTTCCTGCAATAGGTTGCCATTTCTTTCTACGGTAGACCAGTCATCATCAAAGGCTATAGAACCCGGTCTGTTCTGCTATTTACCCATAGCTGAAGGGAGCAAGAAGAGGATTGATACCTTTCACAAGGATATTAGCACGTAAGTGAATGTAATAGATTTGACTGTAATTCGAACTCGGCTCTCTGGTTCCTTAATTTGAGCCGCTATCCTTTACTCCACCGTGCCTGGTAATACTACAAAAATTAGCCGAGTATTAAAATCAGACCATTGGGAATAAAGGGCAGCATGAGAGAATAACAATAGAAGTACGGTATTTAGCATGGAACAGAGGAACTGCGTAAGAAAATATATAGAACTGTT